GGGAATGTGGGGGTGGGAGGGGAAGGGGAAGGTCATCTCCTGCTATTGCTTGCACCCCAGGAGGGCATGTGCCCCCAGGTCTGCATGCAGTGAAAGTCAGGCAGGCTGCAGCTGCTGGCTGGACTCAGGGTGGGCGGCGGCAGTGCTGGGAGGGGGCCATGAGGGAGGCTGCAGCCACCCCAAATTTCATCATAGCCACCCCATAGCTCCTCCTCCCAGTGCCACTGCCACCTGCTGAGCTCAGCCCCTACTGAGAAGAGCCCAACACAGCCCCGGCTCCATCCCACAGCTGCAGCCCACCCACCCTGCCCCACGCAGATCCAAGGGCACAGGCTGCCCCCATCTCCCTGCAATGCCCTCCCAGAGTGCAAGGAAACAGGTGAGAGACATGCAGCAAAATTATTTTAATGCTGTATTTAAGAACGAAAATGGATGAAAGCTTTTAGTAAATTAATGCTGCTTTCTTTCACAATACTTATAAAGTAAAAATCACAGCATGCATACTCATTTTACAGCATTTTGAAGCATCTACTCTTACTCCAGAAAATCTGCTCTCAGAAGACTTCTCAGAATGCAGAGAGCAACTAACATCATTAACATTCTCAGATACTGCCATGGGGAGGACTTGATGTCATAGTACATAGGTGCTGCTCAAGTTTAGTTGCTAAGCAATATGCCGTGTCTAATGGTTACTCTGCACGCAATGTGATGTCAACCACTCTGGTTCACATCCAGGATCTAGTCCCACTACATATGTGCAAATGACTCCCTGGCTTTTCAGCTTAGCTCAAGCCACCCCATAGATCAACTTAACTCTTAAAAACTTATCCAAATATTGCTTTGTAAAAAGAGGTAGCAGAACTGGAAACCAGCTGAGCTCAGTTAGGAGCAGGAGATATTAATTAGTTTGGGAAGGATCATAACCGTACAAAGTGAGACTAGATGGAGTGAGATCTTGCAGAGGACATTAAAACAACTAGTAAAAGTGTCTTTAGCCATATAAACAGAAAACAAGAAAATGATGCCAATGAATTAAGAATGAAGTAAAAAGTTAAGACGGTGTATGTAGCTATGGTCCAAAGATTAAATGAATACTTTTCCTTCAGCTTTCAGTAATGATAATGGTGTTAAACATGCAAATGAGAAAAACTGAACACAGATAAGAGAATGGAGCTACCATAGGTGTAGAAGCAAAATGCAAAGAGCTCAGAGTGCCCAAATTGAGGCTAGTCTTCAAATCACAGAATTCTGAGAGTTCTGGATCAAAGATTTTTACTAACTCAAGTCAAATTAGGGATGGTAATGTATGACTAAAGAACAGTATAGTAACTGTAATTAAGGGCAAGAGGGTGGAAGTGCTCCAAACAGTTGCCGACCCAGCAGTCTGTACACTACAGTATCCAAAGCTTTGTACAAACTCTGAAGGAAAAAAAATCAATGAAGACATGGAGGAAATGGAAAATGGGATAAAATGAAACATGAATTTACCAAGGTAGATTGTGCCAGACTGCCCAGGTAGCTTGATTTTCAAGATGACAGAAATTCAGTAGATCTAGTCTATCTTGACTTTGGTAAAGCAGTTGATAGAACTCCAGTTGAAAAATTTGTTAAGGTTGATATGACTGGGATTAGTTCAAGAACTGTAAAGTTGACAAACAGGAAAATGACAGCAGTTTGTGCCAAAGGGCAAAATATCAAGGTATGGGGAGGTCACCAGTAGAGTTCAAGGATTAAAACTTGGGACTGACCTTGTTTAAAATTTCATTAATACTGCTGGCACAAGAAATAGGAATACACTTGATCTGAGCCTTCAAGAGGCTGAGAAGAATTAAATCTGCTAATGGAAAAACTGGGAGGGATTGTCAACATGAAGGACTAGAATGTCATACAAGAGGTAAATTAGCTTGAGGAGTGAAATTAATTTAATCCCATTCCTACGTTACAAAGTGTAGGGTTACACACTGGGTTAACAACAAAAAAATCCGATTAAAACTGGTTTATATCTTAACTGTTGTGGTTCTGCCGTCACACTAAAACACACACACACACACCACACAATAAAGCATTTATTAATGTATGCTATAAATGACTGTAGAACTAGATTTCTGTTCACATGGCATTCAATAAAAATAAAAATTAAAGGTCTAAAAATTAAAATTATATATCTCATTACATATCTGCAAATGACTCTCTGGTGTATGTGTATGTATATGCAAGCCAGAGAGTCATTTGCACATATGCAGTGGGATATATAATTTTAATTTTTAGACCTTTAATTTTTACTGAATGCCATGTGAACAAAAATCTAGTTCTACACTCATTTATAGCACACATTAATAACGGCTTTATTTTGATTATATATAATAAAGCACTTACTGTGTGCTATACCATTATATACATACACACATAATTTAAATTCTTTTTTTTGATATCTATTTCCACTTTTATAAGACTGAAACCATTTATATTTGAATCAAAAATCTGTTTCAGAGGTGCACTGCAGTACATAACCCTAACTTGTCTCACCTACTGAAAGGAGACGCCACATCACAGCAGGAGTAGCAAAACAAGCAAATACATCATCAGTGCAGGTGAAATGAGTAAGGTGTGGAATAATCACAGACTGGCCACGGCACTGGCCCCACATGTATATCTGGCCACTCTGGGTCTTGGCAGCAGAAGTGTGAGCAGAGTGACAGGCTGCAATCTCTACAACCCTGTAAACAGAAACATAAAATATGCAGTTTTCCTGCAACAACTTTATGAATGGAACTATAATATTAAAAACTCCCAATTCTGTCAAAGAAAAAAAAAAGAGACACTGGCAACTGTAGTCCAGTCTTTTGTTTACCAAATCAAACTCAACTGAACCACCTTTGCCTAAGCAAATTCAAAATTAAGTTACAATTACATAAGCAAAATGCAGTTTCAATTAGTGACATTTATAAAAAGTGACATTCACAGAAGTCTTTCACCTGAAATGCTTCATGCCTCACCTACCGTAGGTCATGAACAGTCAAACATTTCTAAAAGGAATACACATCTCGCCAAACACAAGACAAATAAGCAAAATCTAAGGATAAACATATTGATATCTTCATGTTTCTATTTTGCAGCAAAAAGAAATTTGGGAAGAGTCAAGAAACCAATACTATTAGTAAATTAATGGTGCATGTTCTAGGCCTCCAGATGTCAAACAATATTTTATAAATAAGGATTTCCCGAAGTCGAGGCAACTGCCAGCTGATTTCACAGGCAGACCACGTGGCTGACAGCTATCTTCTTGGGTGCAGCACAGTGGCTCCCCACACACCTCTGATTGGCCAAGGGGCCCTGATTGCTGCTCATCATTCGGTCCCACCCCTCACCACTGATTGGCTGCAAGGGCTATCCCTCATATGGCCTCGCCCCTCACTGCCAATTGGTGGTGAGGGGCATGGCTGTATAACAGACAGCCCTCACAGCCAATCAGTGGCAAGGGGAAGAGGCACCAGCCATCTTGCCATGCCAGCAGCGTCCTTCCCCTCTTCCCAGAGCTAGCATTTTAGTTTTGAAGGGTTTTTCTCCCCACCACAGCGAGCCCCTGGCTTTTTCCCCCGCAGGGTCTGCCCCAAAATTACAGTTTCTGCAAAAATCATGAAATCACAATTTAGGTCCTTATTTATAAAACTAGTCAACTACCCGTCAAGAATGACAGAGGGTAGTGTGTGCAGGGTTGGAGCTCTGTGCCCAACCCCTCACCCCACCCCCATCCAGGCCCTCTCACCCACTCACCACCTGCCTCTTGAGGCTTGGAATCCGGGCCCACTCTCCCCCTCCCCACTGCAGCGGCGGGGTGAGGGGAGAAGTGGGGCTGGGGAGAAGGCAGGCCGCGGCAGCATGGGAGCAGTGGGTCTGGGCCGGCCCGGCGGCAGCAGGGGGACAGAAGCAGGCTCAGGACCAATGTGGGGTATGGGGGAGGAGTGGGACTGGGCCTGAGGAGGGGAGGCCCACTCCTCCTGTTCCCATGGTGTTGCCACATCGGGCTGGGCTCGCAGTTCCTCCCCCCCAGCACCACAGCAGGCCAACTTCTCCACACTCCGCCTCGAGCCTGATCCTCCCCCACATCAGACCCAGGCCTGGGCCTGCTACTTCCCTCCTCCCACTGCCATTGCATCAGCCTGGGCCTGCTTCTGCCCACCACCCCCATGTTGGGCCTGTTCCTCCCCCCCACCCCACTATGCTGAGCCCAGGCCCGTTCCCCCATTGCCCATGGTGGTAGCATGGGGAAGGAAGGACTGTGCACGGGCTTACTCCCTTCTTCGCTGCCACGGCTAGCCCAGGCCCGCTACGCACCGATGCTGCAGCTGGGGCTGCTTGCCCCCACCCCCATCACTTGGGGTCCAGATACACTCCACCTTGCAGAGCTGCTAGCTCCAAGAAGTCAGGGGAGGAGGTGGGGGGGGGGAGAATGCAAAGACAGCTCCTTCCCCTCCACCACCACATCGGCCCTGCAGGCAGCAACTATGACAGAAGGGGGAGGGGTGGGCCTGCAGCATCCTGACCCCTCTTCCCTGCATGCCACCACCACCATTACCTCCAAGTAGCAAGGTGGGGAGCTGGCCTTGCCCTCCCCTTCTGCTCCATCATCACCACCTGCAGGGAGCAGGGTGCAGAGGGCGAGGGCAGCTGTGCTGTGCTGGCCTCGTCCGCCTCTCCACTTGCTCCATTCCCTGTGTCCCCCCCACCACAGTGGTGGGCTGCCGCCTGTCTGAATGCTTCTTTGCACTCTGATTGGCTGTTTATCACCCAATCAGAGCTCAAACAAAGCGTGACTGACAGACAGACTAAGGTTTTATAATATTAGAATGTGAACTATCTTAAGTTATTAGGAACAATGCAATAGAAAAGATATTTTGTAGCAAGCACTGAAAAATACTCCACTTGAGGAAGCTTCCAGTCCCTCTTCAGCTATGCTTTTGTATTTAGGCAGTGAAATTGCCTGCCCCAAACCTGACTTCGTAAGGACCACATAGGCCTTGGCATAAGTGCCTCTATCTTGTACATATCCTCCATTACAAAACAAGGGGAACTGTACATTTTTGCTGTAAATGTGCATTTAAAATAAAAATTCTGGGTTAAACTTGGCTAAAGACAGGCTGGCTAAGACCAGATTCCATATTTTTTATTTAAACAGGAAGACACTGACTAAGTGCTTGACCACAGTAACAAAGTTACTTAAATAGTACCATAAGGAATGGCACTCAGTGTCAGAAGCCAAAACTTAACTGTTAACCTCTGAAGACCATCATAGTTAAACAGTTGTTGAATAGTGAACGTGGAGCCTCATCAAATTATTCAATTAGGTAGGAGGTCTTCATGACCAACCCATTGTTAACATATATCTGAAGTGTTAACTGACACATGTAATATGGAACTGAACCACCATCAAGAGCTCAGAGGTGCTGGGGTCTGGCCTACACCCCTCCTCCCAGGAAAGAGTATGTTTTTATGCTCCCACTGACCTGAATGCTATGTAAACTTAAGTTAACTTTCAGATAAAGTGATTCTCTTAAGAAGAGACAGGTGTGCTCTATTACAAGACCCATCTGACAAAGAAAGACCTTTTGTCCTAACCAGGTCCACATGACCTAGGATTCCAGGTTGCTCATTCCTAAACCTGGCCCAATCTGCCAAAAACATGCCCATCTCAGGCACTGCATTTTACATTAAGCTTTTTCCACTGCATTCCCCTAGGTTTAAAAACTGCTTGGAATATAACTAAAATGGACATAGTCCTCATGTTCATTTTTCAAACATTCATATTTAATACCATATTCTTGGAAAAGATACTTCTTATACAGAGGTTCTAATTTCTATTTTTTATTATTTATTTTTTTACTTCTCAGATCTTGATCATGGTATTGAAGCACTGCAGCTGCTAATGTACAGTTACTTTATTTTGTTCTCTCTTTGCTCATGGAGTCCCTATACCTATTAGTTGATTCAGTTAGATCTGAACCAGAAAAGTCATATTGCTCCTAAAGGAACTGTACAGGTATTTCCAGTATCTCTACTCAGCTGGTAAAAAAGTGCTTGAGAAACTAAAAAAAAAAAAGGGGGGGGAAGGGAAGGATATAGGAGGAGGCAAGGAGAATCCTAGCATTAAGCTTTGAAACAAAAGCTATGTTTTCCTGTTTTTTCCATGTTAAAACATACTAAAAGGGATTTCCAAACAGCCAGGGGAAGAATAAGACAGAAAAATCAGGAAGCTTCCAAAGAGGTCAAAATCCCCATATTCCCCAATAGATTTTTTTATTTTACATCAAAAGCCAGATTTATCCTATGCCATTAATTTAGGAGCAGCATACCATCCAGATAATGGCACAAAAGTTTTGTCTTTTGGCATCCTCTATTTTGTGATAGTGTTGGGGTGATGTTGTAGCCATGATGGTCCAGTTAAAATGCTAGAGGCAAGGATTACTGGTAACATTTTGGAATTATGAGGTGAAGCTCCTTAGCTCTGGAGCATGTAAAAAGCTCTGACTCCATGAGCCAGATGTTGCCAGCCCTGCAAAAATGGACTATGGTTTTCCCAAAGGAAAAATTTAGCTTGATAAGAGAGACAGCCAAATATCAATCGTTTGCCAATTAGAAATCTGTACACGAGCACTGGAATAGAATGAAAGCAAAGAATCATTAGAAATTCAAGTGAAGTGCAAAGGTCTTCATGGTTAAGTGTGGGGCAAGTGGTCCCCGGCCATTTCCAAATAGGACAGCCCTCTCAAGGCAATAGATTTATTTAGTGAAGTGGCGGTTCAACCAAGCAGCCCACAAGCAGCCAGTATTCAGCCCATAGGCCCTTGTAGCTGCCAGGCCTACAGCATTTTTTAAGCCAGGGTTGTCCAACTGGCAGCCTGCGAGTGGTTAACATGCAGCCTTTGGGCTCCCACCTGCCCACTGCTGCCCCCTATCCAACTGGCAGCCCACAAGCCCCTGTAGCTGCCACTCGCACAGCCATGTAGTGGGGTAAGGCAGGGCTAAACGCCACCTATAATGCCTGTGCAGCAAGGAACAGATCCAAGGAGGACATGTGCCACTCACACTGCCCACACAATGGGGCAATGCCTGCTCCTGCAGCATGTGTCTGGTGCAGTATACAGTCTGCAGGTGTGGAGAAGTTGGACAGTCCTGACTTAACCTAGTTTAAAAACTTGGCACATATCATTTATAATTTCCCATTCCATGGAGAAGAGCAAAAATATTTGGGCTGGCTTACTGACTCTGACACCTGGCTTTCTTATACATATTCAAGCCAGGAATGCAATGGATAGGATGTTGACATACTTTCAGAAGTTAGTGTAGAAGCCACTACAAGATTCCAAAAAGTATGCTGTCTACAACTCGGAGAAAGGAATAAAGGTAACAGTATGGAAAAGTACAAAATTAAGTTAAGCAGTAAGAACAAACATCCACAGATCCAAATGTGTATATGATTCAGCATGCACTATGGCTTTAGAAATCTCTCAATCCATGAGTGTTAGCTACAGCAACATTACCTTTCCTTTTCCATCATGATGTGCGTTGGGCTTAGCTGGTTATTTTTATTGCCAGTTCCCAGCTGCCCATAAGTGTTAGCTCCCCAGGAATAGAGCAAACCCTCATCTGTTAGTGCTAGTGTATGCGCAGAGCCACAGGCAATCTATAAGTAAATTTACAACAATTATTACTAAACAGAGAAAAGCAGAAGATAAATTATTGCACTCATTACTTTTACATGACTTGAACACATGAAATATCCCCATCATGCTTTATTTAACATCAGAAACTGATCTTTCCCAATATGTAAAACTAATGAAAATGACACAGTAGAAGTAAGTACTGGGAAGTGTGAATCCCTGTAATGTAGGGTTTATTAATTATTTATTACTGACAATTAAGAATCAATGACAGCTCAGAATAAATCTATACACATAAAACAACCATTCTTTATCCAGAACAGCTAGTCAAGTTTTAGCTTATGTTTTAAATACAGGCCTATTCTATAAAATTCTCTTATAGCAGAGATGGCCAACCTGTGGCATGTATGTCACAGGTGGCACAGGTAGCTGCTGTACTGGGCAGGTGAGCCCTAGGTACTAATGGGAGGCAGCAGAAGACACAAGGAGCAGAGCATTCCTTCCTAGGTGCAAAGTGGGGGCAGGACACTGCTATGAGAGGTGTCAGGTGTTACAACCAAGAGCCAGGCTAACGTTTTCTTAGACTTGTAGCTGTCACCAAATTTAGGGCTTTGGATCCTAGCACACCATATAAAAACTTTACTGGTTGCTGGGGCCACGGAAGGGTTAACTTGGTTCTTGGCAGTGTCACTCCTCCTGTTACTGGAGTTTCCTGCCCCTATTCTGCTCTGCTTAGCTGGAGGCTCAATGCCTCATCTCCACTCCAGCACCCAGTGCACAAAATCTATCAAGCAAGACTACAGGGGAGTGGGAAAGGCTAAGGGATGAGAGCAGCACTCAGGGAGATGATGGCAGACATAGGAGATTAAGTTGTGGCACACCTGCCAAAAAGTTTGGCCACCACTGCCTTACAGTCTCTGACCAATACTTGGTCTAAATTACAAACTCCAATAATTCATCCAGAAGGAACTGTCAGGGTTCCTTCACTTCTACCTAAACTTTTTATGAACTGAGGCTTCACAAGAGTCTTATGAAGTAAGTTCCTATTAACCCATCTAAAGATATCATGATTTAGTGTGTCATTTAAACCTAAATTATCAAGATAGTCTGACAGAGCCTAGACTAGAACACAGATCTCCTGATACTTAGAGCAGACATTCTCAAACAGGGTACTGGGGCACCCTGGTATGCCACCACATCCTTTGAAGGGTGACTGAAGTGTGAGGAGATAAGATAATAATCTCAGCAGATAAGCCAGGCTCAGGCTTATTCTTGCCTGAACAAATCTCACACTCCCTCTTCAGAGGTCCTCTCCAAGGAAGTAAGTGCTGAAATATGTAAATTAGTTTTGAAATCAGGTGCCACTAAATTCACAAAAGTTAGGGAAGGGTGACTTGAGGCCAAAAAGGTTGAGAACTACTGTCCTAGAATCTCATACTTTCACTTTAAGACCATCTTTCTTCTCTGGTTCTCTCATCCCCCTGAGCCTTTCACTCCTAATCCATTTCCTAATTTGAGATATTAAAGTAAATCAAATCCCTTGAAAATCCAGGCTTACCCAGTCTCAATCATTTGTTCTGTATTCACCTGCTCTACCCACTTCACTCTTCCTTGCAAGAAAGGTTTACAGCATAATGTACTTGATGGTTATAGTTAGACTAGTCACATGTGAAACACTCCTAAGGCTTGCAAAACAAATAATCTGTTGATGGACGTTAGGCCATTAGCTTTAATAGAATTTAAGAGACCAACTTAAAAAAATGAAATCCTTAATTCTACATGTTTAACTCTTAGAATAAGATTTTGGTGAGATAATGAATATTAAATAAATGCATTTTCACTTCTGACTTGGACTTACCTGAAGCACACAGACACCCTGCAAGGCTGTCACTCTATATGGAGTTAGCTGATTGCTATTGTTTCCAAGACCTAGCTGACCATTACCATTGTAACCCCATCCATATACCTGGTTTAAGGGAGGAAAAGAAAAGATTAAACTTCCTGTTCTATTCGTAAAAATAATGAGTTTGACTCATTATTGATGCAACCAGAGACAACAGAACTCTGTAAGAAGCGTCTCTGGTGACAGCATCAAATTGTGAACCTGAGAAGAGGTGATGGAATAGAGAAGGAAGCATATAATAAATTTAATAAATTTCTGCTATTTTTTTCAGTTCTATATTTAATTCTATTCCTCTTTTAAAAGAAGGCAAGCTATTTTAAAGATGCCTTCCTTTACTGTAGTAGTAAGTTTTCTGTAAAAAAAGTGGCAATATTCTTCACTTTTCAGGTCCCACTGTGCTGATTTAATTTTTTAGCTGACAATTTTAAGAACAGTATCAATCATCTTGATCAGCTTAAAATGTATCCAATAGCTGAACAGGCCTCTATTTTGACTATTTAGAGCTCCAGATTTCTTCCTAGTTTCTATCAGCAAGTATATATCGGAACTAGAGGTGCACCAATAAAGATTTTGTTGGCTGATACTGATCTGATTGCAGATATGCAGCCCAGCAGCTTGGAGATCAACATCCAGCTAGTAAGTCTGTGGTGGGGGGGGAGGGTTGTAGGGGAGAGGCCAGACTGAGGCCCCCATGGTAAAGGAGGGAATGGGGCTGGGGCCAGGGTGGGCCATGGGATGGAGCTGAGGGTGGTTTGTCTGGAGGATGGGGGGGGGTGACTCCCATCACTGTGTACCCTGGGGGGATGATGGGGGACACATGCCCCCCAGATTTGTGTGCGGGGCGAGGGCAGGTTGCCCACCACATATTTGGGGCTAGGAGCTGCTCCAGCCTCTTCCCAGCAGTACAGGCTGGGCCAGGGTGCTATGGGCTAGGCTACAGCCACCCCAAAACTTGCCATAGCCATGCATGTCAGAGTCATAAAATACCTCAGACCCAAATCACACTATTATTTTAACACCTTCTGGGGGCCAGAGACAAATGTATTCATTTTCTCATCTTAGTTTCAATTCAAGATCCCATTGCTGAAATGAAGACAAATAAACAGAACATGTTCATTCCATACTAATATCTGAAACTATAAGAGTCTAAATATACAGCAAAGAACCAAATGATGCAGAGCTCAAAAAATACTATCAGTTCCACAGCAGTACTGATGTATTAGGAGTGTTTTCTATGTCAATACTATCCAGACATGAGCACAATATATCTTCTGAGATGATACAAGATAACTTACCTCACCATTCTCTACTACAGCCATGGAGGAAGTTTGACCACAAGCAATACCAACAACCATTTTAGTCTGTAAACAATTTGAGACTTTACGAGGAGTTGGTTGATTCGCTGTAGATCCAGATCCAACTTGACCACAGTTGTTATATCCCCAGGCATATACCTGCCCATGGTGGCGGGGATGGGAGGGAGGCAAGAGAAAGAGATTTAACCAAATGGCTTAATTTAAAATTTTAGCTCTTGCTAACTAAGTCCTTTGGAAGAAAGGATACAATTTACTTTACTATATATCAGACACATTTAATAAAAATATTGTCAATGTCACAAGCCACATGCAACCATGATAATCTGGCACTGTACATATAAACACAGGAATTTTCTACATGCTATAAAACTCTAAATGTTTTCCTTGTGATACTTTAAATAAAAATTTTTGAAAACAACTTAACAAGATTCTAAATTTAAGATTCCTATGTCTAGAGCAGGGGTATCAAACTTATGTCCCACAGGCCAGATCCATGGAGCTGTGTTGCATGCCCTTCTATCTATCTACCTTAGACAGGTGGAGAGATCCCTACGTGCAAGAAAGAATGGACACAAATTTGATATCCATTCAAGAAATACTGGCTTATGGTGGAACACTTAAACCTCCCTGGATATTCCATCATTTCTCTCAGAGTAGCTACTCTTAAAAACAACAAAACTTTAAAAGCCACCTCAAACGCAAAATTGTGGAACAAGGAATTATCCACAGACTGGATTGTGTTAAGTATGGTCTTAACAGAGACTATAGATTCTTATACCATTAACTGGTCTAGCTTTTATACCCCTAGGTTTCTCAGCAGGTTAACTGCTTTGTTTATCCATAATGAGCTATTCATTCTACTTCTCACCAGTGCTCCCCACCCTCCTTTTCTCATGCTTTGCATTTAAATTCCTTTCTAATATATCCCTGCTTTCTAAAATCCATTCATAGTATCTGATGAAGTAGACCAGGGGTGGGCAAAATGCAGCCTGCCAGGCCATTGTCTGACCCATGGGGCCCCTAAAAAAATTTAGAAAATAAATATTTATCTGCCCCTGGCTTCCTTGATGGCTTGCCAAAACTCAGTAAACAGCCCTCTGCCCGAAATAATTGCCCACCCCTGAAGTAGATCATAGGCCATCGCCTACAAAACTTATGCTTTTCTGAACTAGCCAGTATCCAA